AACAATTTTCCTGGGTTCAGAATCAAATCCAATTACATTTAATTTACAAGACCTATGGGAGAAAAATAATCTATCTACGGTATTTTTTATTATTTCATACAACTTTTAAATAGAAAATCATCCCTCATTTGGGAGGTCTCTGGTCTGTGGTGGCTGCAGTGATCCAGTGGCTTTTCCTCCACTGAGATTAAATTCAAACTGCCTGGGTGGTGCTGAGTTATGGATTGTTGCAGGCACCATCTTTTGGGGTCTGTCCTTTCAGTCAGGGAGAGATCAGAGCTCAGCTGGGGCAGGGAGATTGATGCTGTGATAATTGGTTGTAATGAGATGCTTTTAACGAGGCAAGCCACAGGTGAGCACCAAGGCTGGGCTTGTCAGGGGGACAGTCAGTGTCACCCCATGGCTGTGTACAGGTTCAAAGTGAATTCAGAAAAGGATAGAATTTTTCTGTCAGTGGACACTTAAATTGTGCAGTGCCTTGGCACAGGAGGTTGTGAATTCTAAAAATTTTCCTGGGTTCAGAATTAAATCCAATTACGTTTAATTTACAAGACCTATGGGAGAAAAATAATCTATCTACGGTATTTTTTATTATTTCATACAACTTTTAAATAGAAAATCATCCCTCATTTGGGAGGTCTCTGGTCTGTGGTGGCTGCAGTGACCCAGGGCTGATGGTGGCTCTTCCTCCACTGAGATTAAATTCAAACTGCCTGGGTGGTGCTGAGTTATGGATTGTTGCAGGCACCATCTTTTGGGGTCTGTCCTTTCAGTCAGGGAGAGATCAGAGCTCAGCTGGGGCAGGGAGATTGATGCTGTGATAATTGGTTGTAATGAGATGCTTTTAACGAGGCAAGCCACAAGGCTGGGCTTGTCAGTGGGACAATAAATGTCACCCCGTGGCTGCTTACAGCCCTGAGGGCTTGGAAACTGCCTGCTGGTATGAAATTGGAGAGAAAATGAGATTTTATTGCAGCACACCAGGCTGTGGTGGTGCCCTGGGATAGCTCAGCCTGGCTTCACTGAGCTGTGCCTTGGCCTTGCTGTGATCCCTGAGGGTGCTGAGAGCTCCTGAGACACCCCAGGTGTCAAATGGGCACCCCTGCATCTGGACAGGGATTCCAAGAGCAAAATGTGGGGGAATGTCTTTCAGAAGAGACCTGGAGTGACCCCCAAGCATGAGGGAGAATTTGGTGTGAGGCTTTGGGGGGTGCTGTTCTATCAGAAGTTGGGTTTGATGCCCTTGGAGGTCTTTTCCAACCTGAATAATTCCATGATTCAGTGAAAGACTGATGTGCTGAAAGGGTTTTTTTCCCTGAACTGGGAGTTCTGCTGGCTTCAGAGAGTGCCTGGTACCAGCCTGCTGCCATTTATCTCTTTCCTCAGCCAGACCAAGTCCCATCTCAGGGCTGTGCCAAAGCTCTGGAATTCATGTTTATTCATGAGGCAAAGTTATTCTCTGCTGCTTCCTAGATAAGCTTTGACCACAATTTGCTGTAAATGTAGATATGAATCCAATAAATGGGTGTTTAATGCTCCAGTCTGCCAGTTCTACAAACCATTGTGAGAATTGACCTGTTTTCTGTTTATTAGCCTTTTAAAATGAGAGTTCTTGTGTCACTGTGTCACTTGCAGCTACTTCTGAGCCAGAACCTCTGTGAGGAGGGCTCTGAGTGAGGCTGGTGCAGCCCTTGGCTTGCTGGTGGGGTATTTGTCTTGAAGAGAGGAAGGCTGAGCTGCTGGATAGAGGGATCTGAGCTCCAGCTTCTTTAGGGATGTGAAGGATTTCTCCCTGCAGCCCTCCAGGAGAAGATATTCAGCTCCAGAGAGCACTTCAGGGTCTGGCAAGGAAGGGCAGGGCAAAGCTGAGGGTGTGGGAGTCACAGTTAAAATAATTAAAATGGGAAGAAACCCCTCTTGTTTAAAAAAAATACTTATTTAATTTTTTAATGTTTGTTTTTATAATGACAAGGGTTTAAAGACTGCACGTGAGACACCCAGAGTAAGTGCTGCTGACCTGGAAAAGCCACACTAATTTTTAGAGAGCTCCTCCAGATTCACCTGGGATCCTTCCCAAGGCAAAGCACAGCTCCTGGCAGAGTGTGTCCCCTGGTTTTTGGGGCAGGCACGTGAGCAGAGCAGCTCTTTTGATGGAAATGGAGAGTAGGTGTGTTTTTGACTCATTGGCACTTGCTGCACTGGGTGAGGATTGAGAAATACCTTTGTAGCCTCCCTGCAGACACTGAGTGCAAGGTAGAGCACCACATTTATAATTAATTAATTGATGGGGAAGCACTTGTCAATCTCCAAACACAACATTGTCATCTTTGCTGCATCCAAGTGATGCCTCAGGGAAAGGAGGGATTTCCTTCCTTCAAGGCACAGTGCAGCTGTTTCTGCTCTCAGATTTTTATTTTTTTTTTTTTGCCTGCCAAGCCCACAATCCCAGCACTTTTCAGGATAAAATCTTTGGGATGAAGAAAAGAATTTTCTGGAAGGCTCTTTAATAAATGTTGTCTGTGTGCTGGGTCAGATGAAAGGGCACAAAGTTTTGCCTGAACTTGTGATTATTACAGCACTGGACTGTGCATGCAGGGCATTTTGCAGTATCAATCTTCATTTGTTCCAATTCTTTAAACTCCAGTTCTTCTCTTCTACTCACTAAAAATTACTGATTTTCCTGAAGTGCAGATAATTAGCCCAAGAAAGACACAGCCCTGTTAGAAGAGGGTGCCCAGAGCAGCTGTGGCTGCTCCTGGATCCCTGGAAGTGTCCAAGGCCAGGCTGGAGGGGCTTGGAGCAGCCTGGGATAGTGGCAGGGATTTGGAATGAGATGATCTTTAGGGTCCATTCCAACCCAAACCATTCCAAGATTCACTGATCCTGTGGTGCCAGGCACTGCCAGCCAGAGTTCTGCTTTCCATTCCCTTCTTTATTTATTGCAGAAATATTTTCAGCATGTCTGGGACAGCAATAGGAAGATTGTTGTGGTAAGAGCTAAAAGGCAGCTATGAGGTGTGTTTACAGAAGCAATAATTTGTAAAAATACACTTTATGTGCCTTGCAAGGCCAGTTTCACTTTCTTTTTATCAGGAAAAAAAAAAAAAAAAGCTTTTTATACAAAAGTGAGCACCTAAAAGCTTTCTTCACACATCACAGGTGGTGCTGAAAAATGTCAACAGAGAAAAAGATACAGATCACCAAAACTCTGAGTGCATAATTCAGGGCATTTAAAAAGCCATCTGATGCTATCAGATGGCTTTTATTTTGCATTATAACCTATCATGAGGTAATGGCTGCACTCTAATTTATTGCACTTGGCGGAGGAAAAGATTGTAGAACGTGAAATATTCCATCATGGAATCATTTTCCATGGAATCTTTAATATCCTGACACTGTTGGAGCTGCTGGCTGTTTGGGAGATAAGTGTGAGGCTGTGAGAGCTGAGCTGGGCACTTGACACAAGGAGCTGAAACCTGACTTTTAATGAGCTCTGCATGAAGGAGATACCATCAGTTATTCCATTTTTCAGGCTCTGATAAACTCAGCTCAGGACTTCATTATTTGAAAAGTTCAGTTTGTTCGTGAAAGGAGAGGGGAGGAAAAACCTGTAAAATCACTTTGAAAGCCAGCTAAGGGTTCTTTTTCAGCTTCAAAGCATTTCTGTGTGTTCTCTCTTGATCTGAGGCAGATCTGCCTGGTGATGGCACCAGCCCTTCCCTTACTCAAGGAGTAAAAGATGATTTAAAGGAGGAATTTGGGTGTAATTACAACAAGTGCAGGGTTCTCAGAGTTCCCTTTGCTGGCAGGTGAGAAGGATTTCCTCAAAGTTTTGTCACCCCTTTGTTCCTCACACCCCAGACTCTCTCCTGTGGGGCTGGTGACCTCAACAGCTCGGGAGTCACATTTGGGGGAACCTTTCCATCTGATGGGCTGTGACAAATAGGTGAGAGCAGAGGTGCTGGAAACAGGGAGCTCTGCTGACAACCCATCCATCTCACCAGGCAGCAACTCAAGTGCCTGCCTGTTGGAAATATAAAGCAGGGGGGAAAATGTCAAAATTCTGCTAAGAACTCTCAAATGGTGACATATCGATGCAAAAATGTGTTTGAGTCTTTTTTTTTTTTTTTTTCTTTAATTTAAACCTGCCAACTCCTTTTGGCTTCAGCGTTAATGTTACACGATCCAACAATGCAGCATGCATGGGGTGTTATTAATGCCTTTTCAGAAATAAAAGGGCAAAATCAAAACATTAGAAATCTGTGGAAAGGACATGGTATTTTCCTTTCCACTAAATCTTTTATCCTACCCAGAAAATCTTCAGCAGTGCCTCATTTTGACAAAACCCTTTTATTTTTCCTCCCTGTGCTGGTTATTCCTTCATTCCCAGTTTGGATGTGCCACCTTCCCTCACTCCTCCATAGGGATCCTCTCCTGGCCACAGCACTGTCCCTGCTCAGCCTCCAGCAATGTTTTGTGCCTTTTCCCTTTTTAGGAAGAAAACTGCTTCTGGTGAAGGGATTTTGGTCCTTGATTGTCATCTGTGTTCCTTCCTGCTGTGAGAGCTGCACAGTCACTGCACTGGGAAGGAAAAGATGATGGGATGTGGGGGAAACACAGAAGGAAAGGACAATGTCTCACAGGTCCAGATCAAGTGTTTTAATGCAACAGGGCAACAAGGGCAAGGAAGAGAGATATTTAATTAGGAATTTCTGCCTTTTTAATCTAGGAGAAGACACTGTTCTTGTATCAAGCCTGATTTGCCTTATTTTTTTTGCCCTTATCTGCTGTTCTATCCATACTGGTCTCTGGAAAATTACAGTGCTGAGTTTTAGGGACTGGGGGAGATGAAAGCTGTGTGTTTGAAGGAGATATTCAGTGGCGTTTCATTCCCAAAGGTGCCTGTGCCGGGGTGAGAGGCTCTCCACACCTTTGCAGAGCTGCTCTGCTGCGTCCAGCACTCCTGAGTGCTCCATCATCTGCTTTTCTCTCTTCTGCAGGCTGCAGGAGGCAGTGGGACAACATCACGTGCTGGCCCGAAGCAGAGGTGGGAGAAGTCGTGGTGCGGCCATGCCCCAAGTACTTCAGATTCCTGACCTCCTACCTGGGTAAGCAAATCCCAAATCAGCTCCACAGCTTCACTCCCAGAGGGGTTTCTCAGCATTCCGCGTGGGGAACATCTCAATAAAGAGGGAGGAACCAGCTCGTAGCCCGAGGTGAAGGAGGTTTCCAAGCCATCCGTGAATTCCCAAACATGAAAACATCCTCCCTGCACTGCTGTGGACCACAGGGATGCAAAAATGGCTCCTGGTGAAATCCAATAATATGGATGTTGTGCAGTGAAAATTGAATCAACCTGTGGAGCAGTTGTGTTTGTTGTGCAAAATGAGCAGTTTAGCACAATCATTAATTAAGTCTCTGACAGAAAATGAACAAGCTGGAACTGGACGTAATAAAGTTGAGGTTTTTTTTCTGCTGGAGTGACAAATCTGACCACAGGCCAAGGAATTAACCTGACAAATAATGGGCAGGGGAGGTTAATGGAGGAGATAGCTTAACTCACTCTTCAGGGTGTTCTGAGAAGTTTTAGTTTAAAACTCAGGTCTCAAGGGGCCGTGCAGCAAGGGCTGATTGTGCCTCCTAGTAGTTTATAGTTTTTTCACTATTTTTATTATAAAAGCCCTGAAGGTCTTAACAGAGAATTAAGTTATTTTGCACTGGAGATCCTGCATTGAGCTGACCCTCCATTTTTAAAGCTTTGTAATGCAAACACACAGGATAAATTAGGAATGGGGGTGGGCACACAATATCATCCCTGTTCAACAGATCTGGGCACTGCATTCATTAACCAGCACATGCTGATTACATGACTTGCCCAAGGCCACACCAAAATTCCTTACAGGCACAGAAGGGAAATTAAAAAGCCCTGGAGTCCTGTCCTGTGGATTCTTTGCTTCTTTTTTCTGCCAGGGTTGAAATTAAATCGCCAGACAGTATTTCTTGTTGGGACTCAGATGTTTATCAGTTCTTATCTATTTCTTATCTATGACACACTCCCACAAACCCTGAGTTCTGCAGCTCTTCACTCTAACAAACTAAAAATGGAGCCCATCTCTCTCTCTGCAAGGCCTTTGAAGGATCAACTGTCCAATTAACAAATGACACCTAAATTATTTTTACTTTTAACCCAATAACCAACCACCCATGGCCTGCAGTGTGGACTTTTTTATCCAATTACACAAAACCACCCAAACCCATGGAGAAGGAGAAGAAGAAGAAGAAAAAGAAGAAGAAAAACAAGAAGAAGAATGAGGAGAAGGAGAAGGTGAAGAAGGACCAGCCCCCACCCTAAAACCTCCATCTTGCTTTATCTATATTACTGGGTTCTAAACCCTTAAACTCTGAGTTTCCCAGCCTGTGGTATCACACACTTCTATTCAAACTCCACACCCACAATCCCAGTTCTGTCATTCCATTTTGGAAGCTTCTCCATGGCCTCAGGTCAATGCAGTGTTCTCTTGGGGGTCAGTGCCTGGCAGCACAGAAAGTCTGGAATTCTCAGCAGCCAGGGTTCCAACACTATCCTAGCACTGACTTCCTCGTTTCCAAAATTCCCTGGTAGCTCATCACACCTGTGTCAACACCCAGGGAGAAGAGGCAGCAGCTGCTGTGATATCACATCTTGCAGGACAAGACCCCTGTGCATGGGATCAGCTGTGTGGAATAATTTCCTGCTGTTCCTGCTCTGTGCCCTCCCCCAAGCACAGTATTCACTCACTGGGTTTTATATACCAGCAGAGTTAGCAAAATACCAATAAAAATCTCTTAAAAATGCTCTTTAGTACATCATCCCACCAGAGCTGACTGATGAGGAGAATATTGTGTATAATTTGATTATATGTAAAGGTCAAGCAGTGAAACAGGCTGCCCAGAGAAGTGGTGGATTCGCTGTCCAAGGGAAATGCTCAAAAACAGGAACGTGGTTTAGTGTGGACCTGGCAGTGTTGGATTAATGGTTGGACTTGATGTTCTCAGAGGTCTTTTTAAACCTCAAGGACTCTCTGAGCTGGTTTTGGAGTCAGAGGTGAGGAACAGGCTCATCCTGGAGCCTCTTCCTCCTGTTTAATACCATCTTGGATACCTTTAGATAGGTAATACCTTTAGAGGTACAGTTCAGCTGGTTTTTTGATTCCCACTCCAGGATGAGTTTAATACCGTCCATAAACCCCGTATTTCTCGCCATTTACAATCAAAATATTGCAGAGTGGCTCTGGCAGATGGGAATGTCTTCCAACAGGATTGAATTCTGCCTCAGCAGTGCACCAGCAGAACAACTGATGCCATCCCCAAAGCAGAAGCAGCAGCTTTGATTCTCTCTGAGCCAGACACTTTGTACACAACCATCAACAAACAGGGAAAGCAGTGATGGTCTTAAATAAAGGGAGGGGAATATTGCCTCCTGTTTTATAGGATTTGTTGCAAAATTAATGCCATTAAATGTTGTGAAGCAGCTCTTCCTTTGTAGCAGTGAGTGTCATTGAGAAGCTTTCAAGGAACTCAATCATCTGGGTAATGTTTGTGTCGTACTCTTTGATCCCTTTGCAGGAACAGGAAAGCTTTTATCAAGCTGTGAGCCAGAGAAAATCTTTTTAATGTGTTTATAGCAGGAAAAGAGTGAAATACCAGGGAGCAAAGAGTTAATGTGATTTTCCTGCCTCATGGAGAATAAGCTCTTCAAATTACTAATATCCCATCTCATGGTTAATAAAGGATAAAATGTCTCATGGCATTTAAAAACCTTAAACTGTCCTGATGTCATTTGACATTAATTTTTTATGGCATTCACAGATCCAGAAAATTTTCATTATTTCATGACGTTCATCAGCGCCATGTGAGGGAGATGGATGAAAATATTTTTGGCACCTTTCATTATTAAAGTGCATTGCTTTCCACCCCTTGACCAGTGTTCCAGCTCTCCTTCCATACATGGAAGATGACATTTGTAATAGGGATTTATATCTCACAGTTTCTCCAAAAGCAAATTGTCCACCATGCACAAGTTAAATTAGCACTGACAGTTTTTGAGCTTCAGCTCTGAGATTAATTGACCTAAGGGGGTGGGGATGGGCACAACCAAGCTCTGGAATCCCACTCAGCGAGGTGAGATCCATCTGAGTTTTGGGCTTGCCAAACTCCTTTTTTCCTCGGGTGTTCTAAATTTATTTCCCCTCTCCTTTCCCCTCCTTCGTGAACACTTTTTACTCTGCATTGCTTCTGAAACTGGAGCAAAAATTGAATAAAATGAGGCTAGGGATGAACAGAGAGAGCAGATGAGAAGAAGACAACACCACCTCTCTAAAGAATCCCAAAATGAACCATACCCATTATTTATTTGCTACAATGATCATTAAAATACCCAAGAAGTTGAGTGTGGTTTTTTTTGGAGTTTTCTTCACTGAGAACCCTTGACCTGCTCAGGTTCTCTGCTGTCCACATGTGCCTTCATATCAGAAAAGCAAAATTACCTGGAGGAAAGGAGGCTCAGAGAGGGCATCACCATCCCTGGAAGTATTCAAAAACGTGTGGATGTGGCACTTGGGGACATGGTTTGGTGGTGGCCTTGGCAGTGTGGGGTTAGTGATTGGACTTTATCACCTTAGAGGGCTTTTCTAACCTAAGCCATTCTACCATTCCATGATTTTTTTTTTCACCTGAGGTCTCACAATGCTTGTGCCCCACTCCTCTGAAGGATTGGTGCTACACCTCCACCTCTACCCAAAAATATGCATATTTTTTTCCTAAATGTTTCCTGGAATCCTGTAATTGCAGGATCAAAAGATCTAATGAGAATTTTGTCCTAAAATTTGACAGCTCTGTTTTTAGGATGAGAAAAACAGTTTACAAAAGGTGCCTAATCAAGGGGAACATTGTTATTGTTAAGAAAGGGAGAATTATCTGTATTTATTAAGGATCAGGATCTTCGCTCTTAGAAGTGAAATGTGCAGGAAGGGGAAAGGAAAATAAGGGAAAATTGAGTTTTGCCACAAAAAATGGGGTGCAGGAAGTTTCAGGGCACTGGACATGTGGCAGCAATATCTGCAGGCCAAGTGATGTGAAAAAAAACAAAGGGAGAAAATTAAGTTGGTCTTGTTTGATGTGCTGACCCAATGCCACAGGTTCTGCAATGACATGAGGTTATGAAATACAAAAATGTAAAATAACATTAAACAGTGTGCAGAAATTGCACTGAAGGAATGATATTGTGAGACCACGACTGAGACAGAGGAAACATATTGTGAAATTATCCTGTCACAACTTTCCCCACAAGTTTTTTCCCGGGCCTAAGCACTTCAGCATCCAGCTAAGTGCAAGATGTCTGCAAGTTTCAAGTGTTTCCCAGGAACAGTGGGGCAGATCAATAATAAAAATGAAAGCAGAGATGTGCCAGTGGGCTCAGCGGTGTCTCAGGAATGGTAGATAATAGAAGTGTTACTGCTTTAATAGTTTCTGCTTGAAAAAGTTGATTTATGTCCGTGGAATATGGTGCTGGAGAAGCAGGAGGGATTGCTGGGCAGAGCACACCTTCCCCTCTGCTTTAGAAGTTGTTACAGAAAAGGGCAAGGAAAGCAAGAGGGGGGCAAAACCCAACACCCCTGAGCCATGATTGACCTCAGATCTCTTAGTCTGAATTCAAATTCCCATTAAAAGCCAATAACAGGGTTTTTCCAAGATCAAAGAGGTAAAACTTCACCTGCAACATGAACTTTCAGACACGTCTCAGAGTTAAAAGGGTGTGTTTGAAACAGATGAGAGGCAGAAAGAAATTAAATAAGAAAAAAAACCCTAAAGAGCAAGACAACAGCTCTGTGCATTTATTCAGTTCATCTGTTCAGTGTTTGACTCCCACTCAGATCAAACACCTCTGATAAAGAAAATGTTCTGGTTTTATCTCTGTTCCACAAACTCCTCCCTCCTCTTCTGCTGTGTCATGAATAAATCATGGAAGGAAATTCCTCAGTGACAACAAGGAGGTCTCCTGGGAGGTTCCCTGCCCATGGCAGGGAGGTTGGAACTGGGATTTAGGGTCCCTTCCAACCCAAACCATTGCTTGATGATTTCATGGTTCTAAATTCTGAGACAAGATTTGCTTGTGCAGTCTTCATCCTTGAAGGATTCCAGGAATATCCAAAAGGCATCTGGTCATGCTTCCATTTTAGGTGACCACACCTGAGCAAAGGTTTGGGGCCAGATGACCTCCAGAGGTCCCTTCCAGCCTCAGACATTCTGGGATGCAAAAAAAGCAGGACACTGAGCTCTTGCAAGGCATTATGAGGTTATTATCAAAATAAATGAGAGTTAGTTGTGACTTTTTCAATTTTTTTTTTTTTAATGGAAAACCTCACCTCATTGTTTTTAGGAACAGTCACACCACTTTGAGCTTTTTCATTTTTTTTTTAATGGAAAACCTCACCTTGTTGCTTTTAGGAACAGTCACATCACTTTGACAGTGGTAACATTGATAAAATTAAATACAAAACCCACCAAAAAACCCCAGATTAATTCATGGCTTTAACTAATACCATGACATCTGTTCTCACCAGGGACTTGCCTCTTCTTTTTCCACAACACAGAGGAGAGCCTGGAGCACAAACCTGCTGGCACTGGGATGCTTCCCATCTCTCAATGAATCTCCTCCACTCTGCATTGCTAATTATGTGGAGTTATAAACCCCCGGTCTCCTTTCTCATTAAATCTCCAGGAGTACAGTTTGAAAATTTTAGCTCCAGTCTGATAGGAAATGGGAACATTTTGGAAATCTAGTGAACTTTGAAAGGCTGGAGATAAATTCCAAGTGCAGAAAGTTTGTGTTTTCTGATACTGTCATTTTCAATGTACTCCAGATTTTCAATGTACTCCATTGATGCTCATTTTTGGGAGAGCTTGTGTTACACAAATTACTGAGAAACAGCTCTGGAAAATGGCAAATATAACTTCTGTTGCTTTGAAAAAATTGCCTTTCCATTGATAAATAATTAGATGTCATGATCAAAGTCTGGAAAAAAACAAGAGTCAATGAGACAACAAAAAAATATCTATTTTCATCAGGGCAGAGCTGGGATTTGACATTGGAATATAAAAATCTGCGTGATGCTTCAGTCTAACCTGAGCCTGTAAGCCTCAGAGGAAAGCTAAGCTTGTGGGACACTTTCCCAAATTTCATGCTCATTTTTAGTATAGAAAGTGATATTTTAAATAGTTGGAATTAGAAAAGTTGTTTTGTCTGAGGAGAGACATCATCCATTACTTGAGGCAAATTGTGGTCTGATCAAACCTTTGTTTTTTTAACCTTGTGCTTTTTGTACCTCTCAGACATCAGGTGAACAGGAGAGGTTTTAGGAAGGTGTCTTGTATCACACCATGTGTGTGAATTTCCACATCTAAAAGTGACATGAGCTGCAAAGGGTGGCAGAAAAACTTCTCTGGGAAGTGAGTTTCCCTAAAATCAGAGTAATTTTTATTATTATTTTTTTAATTCCACTGATGCTTTGTCATTGTTCTTCTTTCTACCTTGGTCTCCACGTCTGCTAAAGCATTGGGACAATTTTTGAAGGTATTGAGAGAGGAGAGAGTTTTTAAATAATCATGAAATAGTGAGGAAATGCAATTGAAAAGAAGAAATAGGAGAAAAACTAGCCGAAAGAAACACACCTTAGCTCACTGAGAATAAAAAACAAAGATTTAAAACCACCGTGAAATCTTAAGCCATCCCCAAACAGAGTTTTGAGCAGGAAATGGGAAGCAGTGAAGTTCAGATAATGGGATCCATTGTAACAAAGGAGAAATAACAGATATTGCACAACTCAGAAAAGCTGAAAGCGCCGCACAGTCGTGTCCTTGATTTGTTTGCACAAGATCCTTTATGATCCTGACATGAACCCTGGTGGAAGGAACTGCAAACAGTGGCCGTGCAGGGAAAGCCTGGAACAGCAGCCCTTGGAGCTGTGCTGGACTTTCTGCTTCTGGAGCAGCTTGAAAATGAAGAAAAGCACCTTTGAGAGCCCTCCTGGACTCAGATCTGCTGCAAAGACAGATTAAAGGGGCAAGTTTAATGTCAAAATCCATCTGTCACAGGGACTGGAGAAGTGACTTCAGGCAGGGCATTGTCTGCTGCTGATCTCAGGGCAGAGCAGGCCCGTGGTTGGGAAGATGCTCAGATGACTCAGGTGTCAGAAATTGCTGGAGGTGATACTCAAATATTTTTGTGACTCACAGCTGCATAACTGATTTGGTCCCACTTGCAGGAGTTTTCTTACTCTTGTGTGCAAAGAGCTCTGCTGTTGGAAATGGTTGCAAAGCTCTTTGAGCTTCACTGACGTCACATTTTACCTTAAGAAGCAAGGCTTGACTTCTCTTTGTTCATTCTGGTGTGTTGACCAGTTTTCCAGATTTGTGTGGTGAATGGCACCAGTGGAATGCCTCAATAATGGGATTTTAGTGGCACTGGTGGTCAGAGAAGGTGCTGGGGGAATTCACAATGTGCCCAATAATGGGATTTTAGTGAGGTGGGCACTGGTGGTCAGAGAAGGTGCTGGGGGAATTCACAATGTGCTGTTGGGTGCACTTCTGGTTTGTTATTTCCTGACAAACCCATGTCTTGGCCTTTTAGCCTACAAACCTCTTGGGGTAAGGCTTATCCTGAGTGCTGGTCTCTCCTTTTGCTGGATTAAGCTGATGTGGGTTTGAGGTCCAGCTGGGACAGGAAGCAGAGATGTTTTACAAAGTGAGAAGTGCTTTGCTCTTACAATCCTGGATGGATCAGGCAGTTCTGAGTGCCAGAGAGCCACATGAATTCAGTTTTGACAGTTTGGCTGAGGGAGTGAGATGTTCTTGTGTTAATTAAAGCTCTTTTTAGCTGGTCAGAGGCCCCAGGCACTCAGCGAGCTTGACAGTCCAGGAAATCTTCCTGCCCTGGAGTATGCAAGTTAAAACAGGCAATACAGGTTGTCAGTGTGTGGATTTTCTCCCTTCACAGCCAAAATTTGAAGTGTTCTGTTCACAAACCAGAGTGCAGTACGTTTCCCAGGAATCACATTCGATCAGGGCTCAGTTGTAGGCAAGGTCTGGGTGTGGAGGACTGGATTTAGTTCCCAGACCCCCAGCCTTATCTGCATGGTGTGAAATAAACCCTTTATCTATCCCTGTCCTGGCTTCTCACAGGCACAGTGAAAGGCATGAATACTTCACTGCGCTGTTTAGATAAAAATTTTCCAGGAACAAAGTCAATGTGACAATAAAACATTCAAACAATACTGGTGCAGTGCCAGGAACCAAAGGTCTGGGTACAACTGGCAGCATGGTACCACTAGAAGAGATGTTTTGTGTGCACCTCTGTATTAAAATGTACTTTTCTGCTGAGGTCTGGACTTTAAAACAGAATAGATGACTCCCATTTATAAGCTCTGTGTAATATGAAAAATTAATAACAGGGGAAAAGTATGAGAGTTTTTCTCTAAGTGTTACAAGAATTCTGCTTTGGCATTTATACCACAAGAGGCAGAAGTTGTTTTAACAGTGAGCTGAAGGTTTCTTTTTAAATCATGGTTTTTTTTCTTTTCTTCCAGGGAATGTGACCAGGAATTGTACAAGCCAGGGCTGGTCAGATGTGTACCCTGCACCCTACGCTGTAGCTTGTGGATATGATTCCAACAGCACTCCAGGGGAAGAGGTTTGTAAACCTGGATGGGTGGACATCAAGATTTAACAGGGATCAGTATCCAAACTGTATGATCCTCCCATGCCCAATTTTTCCCATTCCCCTTCTGATTCCTCAAGAGGGAAGGATCTTCTTGAGGATCCTTGGGAGCAGAGTTCAAATGTTTGGTCAAGGAAATGATCTTCCCTTTGACATCATAGACTGGTGGAATTATGGAATGGCTTGGGATGGAGGGGAACTTCTTTTCAGGATCATCCCATTCCACCCCCTGCCACGGGCAGGGACACCAGGCTGTTCCAAACCTGTCCTTGAACACTTCCAGGGATAGGACATCCAACATTTCCAGGATGTCAGGACCTGAGAAGATCAGACCATTGTCCATGCGATGCCCACACACAACTTCAGATGTTTTATTTTCCTCAGTGCACTTTGAAGCAAGCCCTCCACATTTATTTTTATGCTTAAGCAGATGTGGTGATTCCAATCTTTCTATGGCAACATAAGCATCAAAAACTCTAAAGTCATAAAAATTATGTTTTGCTGCTGTGCAGATCTCAACCAACTAAATATCCACATCACTGTAGGGAACACACATTTTCAAAATTTACTAAATTTCGATAGAAAATCCAAAAGTTCTCTGGGATATTGTTTGTGTATAAATTAGCAATCCCTGACCTAGGTATAATTAGCTTTGCAGAGTATTATCACTCCAGAAAAAGGAGTTTGTTATGGTTTTGCTGCATGCTGAGACATGAAGGGTAAAGTCTAAAGAGGATAACAAATGTTAGAAGCAAGATTCACCTCACCTAACTCAAAGTTCAGCATCTAATCTAAACTAATCACCTGTAGCAGTCCCATAGTCAACAAGAAAAAGCTTATGCATGGAAAGTTATATTTCACTGCAATCACACGTTACAGTATTTATATTTTTATATAATAGGTTAATGTGTTTATATTAAATCACTGCTCATCCTTTTGTTGTTGTTGTTTCTGTTTAAGACATACCCCAGTGTTAGTGAATGTTGGACAAAGGAATCTCAATAATTAATTAACATCTGTTTCCAGTATTTAAAGGGGGCTTACAAAAAGGCTGGAGAGGGATTTTTCACAAGAGCATGGAGTGATTGGACGAGGGGAATGGTGTTAAGCTGAAGGAGGGCAGGTTTAGCTGAGATATTGGGAAGAAACTCCTCACTGTGAGGGTGGTGAAGCCCCAGCACAGGATGCCCAGAGAAGCTGTGACTGCCCCATCCTGGGAAGTGTCCAAGGACAGGTTGGACAGGGCTTGGAGCACCCTGGGACAGTGGAAGGTGTCCCTGCCCAGGACAGGGGTGGAATGAGATGATTTTAAGGTCCCTTCTAACCCAATCCATTCTGGGATTCTGTAACTTGATATGGTGAGAGGTCTCTGTGCACGGTCACACACTGCCAAGGCACTCCAAGAGTTAACAGGGGATCTGAGCAGAGCTGAGCCAGCTCTGAGTGGGAAAGAAAGCAGAAAAGAGCAAAGGCAGAGGTGCATAAAGAACTCGAGGGCTGTGCTGAAGAGAGCCTTAGTCTGCCTTCGGGGTCAGCCAGCACTTCACGTGCTCAAGTGTCCATCCCTCAGACTGAGCTGTGTGCCTGCAGAAACCAACCAAACCAGCTCTGCTGTGCAAGGACCCCCACCCGGAGCTCTGGTTTGTGTTCCTGCTGCACAGGGCATTTGGGAATTCCTGGGACATGCTCCTGCCACCCAACAGGTTGCAGCGTTGCCAGAGTGCTGCGTTGCCGGAGTGCCGTGTTACCAGGAGAACCTCTATTGTGTTCTTTTAATTCTTTCTTAATTATTTTCCCTTGATTCCACAGTTTTTTTTCTTGCTGTTAAAGTCCGATTCGTGTGAAAGGTGGCTGAGGGGGGTGAACATTCAGTAGCAGCCTGTGAAGAAGAATAGATTTTTGTTTCCTTGTTGTTGAATTGGCAGTGAGTTTGGGGAGCAAGAAGTAAAGGGAGTAGAAAAAAACCAGCAGGCTGTACAGGACATGAGGTCCAGGAAAGACTGATAAGCTTCCAGGAGTCAAAAACTTCATGAACTTTTGGTCTCAGGTCAGAAACAGCAAGAAAAAAATATGAAAAATAAATAAAGGCAAGGTGAAAGGTTTTAGCTGTGAATTCTGGCAGTCCCTAAAGCAGCAGATGATGCGGGCACCAAAGTGCTGCTCTTGGGGTCCGTGCAGTGATGATGAGCCCTTCTCCAAGCTGACCTTTAAAAGTGGTGCATTAGCAAGTGGGGAGTGGGGTTGTTATCCTGCTCCTCTGTCAGATGTGATGCTCTTCTCCCTGCTGTGTTTCCATCTGCTCAGAGGGGCCACCCCAGGGTTATTGTGGTTTTTTATTCTTGTTTTTTTTTTTTTTGCTCTGGTCAGGGTCGGGATTAAATGTGTAGAGATGATATTTTGTGTTTGAGTTCAGATGTTTATTCATTCTTGTTTATATTGTAGTCTTGTAAGTTGTGAGTTTTACAGCATTTCACTAATAAGTTACAAAATGGCTTTGTATTTATCTCTATAAGGCCTTTTAAGGAAAAACCACCTCATTAAGAAATGATACTTGAATTATTTTTATTTTTAACTAAATTACTAACTACTTGTGTTCTGCAATGTGGACTTTTTATCTAATTATAAAATACTACTTAAACTCATGAAGAAGAAGGTGAAGAAGGATTAGCTACTGCTTTAAACCTTCTATCTTGCCTTATATATATTACTATAAACTTTAAACTCCAGGTTTTCCACTATGTAATGTTACACACTTCTATTTAAACTATACACTCAGAATCTTTGTGTTATTCATCAATTTTGGAAGCTTTCTCTATGGCTTCAGGTCAAATGCAGTGTTCTCTTGAGGATCTGTGCCTTTCAACACAGAAAGTTTAAAATTCTCAGTATCCAGGGTTGCAACGCCAGGTCTCTGTAGGTTCTGCCTGAAAATGGTGAAATAAAGAGACACCTCCAGAGGTCACTTCTGCCCACATTTCTCTCCAAAGAAATTTATCTTCATTTACTTTCGAGGGAACCCCAATTACTTTGGGCTGGATGACATGAACCCCAAAACACTTGGCTCCTGAAAGATTTTATATCAGTATTTTTCTTCTTTTCCTTTCAAAATTGTAAATGTTTCCCATTGTAAACCAAGGGACAAATGTTAAGGTTACTGAATAGAAACCAAAGAAAATAAATCTCAGTTAATCTCAATTTAGCACCTACCTCAAATAATTGTTATTATCACACTCCTGTGAAATTAGGCAGAAGCTTTTAGAAGTCAAAGAGACAATGATGAAGTTGCCTGACTTCATTCTGTAAACCAGTCAGGCATCCTGGGATGCATTGCCTGCACTTATCTGCATCCCTTTCTTTTCTAATAAGAATATTTTATAATCTGGACCCTGAATGAAATTTCAATTCCATTTATGATCTTGGGTCAAATTCTCCACTTTGATATCTCTGAAATAGGAACCAATTGTCACTGCAAGTGCAGTGAAGAGTGAGAAGCCATTATGTGCTGTTTCCAGAGCAGAGATGACCCCACATCCTGCATTAAAGCTGCATGCAGAACCATCCCTCTCTGCACAAAAAGGATTAGTCACCATAAAATATCAGGGGGAAAAGCAGGGAATTGCTTGTTGAATAACACCAAGAACCTTCTGTGCATAACTTGCTCCTGGGAATAACTCTAAGAGGCAGAAGGCCTGCTTTGCTCTCCTAAATGAAGTGTGGGACAACCTCTTCCCCGTACAGTCCCCTACCACGTTTCCTTTTTTCTGCTGGCCAAATCTTTCCTGGAACAGTTCTTCTCTGGTGCCATCAAAAACAGAGATAATAGAGAAAGATTAAATCAACATGAAGGAGGTTGACGGCTTTAATTGGAAAAGTCAGAGCTTTTGGGATCCCAAACTCCAGGAAGGCTGGAAAAAAGACTTTCTCTTGGGGGTGCTGGTGGATGAGAGGCTGGACATGTGCTGACCGTGTGCCTCTGTAGCTCAGAAATCCAGCTGTATCCTGGGCTGATCCCACAGCCTGGGCAGCAGGGAAAGGGGGGGTTCTGTCCCTTTGCCCCCCTCAGGTGAGGCCCCAGCAGCAGAACTTTACCTGGGCAAGACCAGGCAGATAAATCATCCTGCAACCTTTGAATTATCGATTCAGAGTGACCCAAAGCTCTCAGTGACATGGCTGGAAGGGCACGGTGCTTGAACCACCTCTGAGATCTGTGGAAGATATGACCAGTGTTATCTCTGAAAACTCTCTTGTTTTAACCCCCCTCCAAGCTGGCTTGTGCAAATGCTAAAGGATTGCAACTCATCCCAGCCTCACTGGTTCTGTAAAGTACCAAATACTTGTCAAAGCCTGGGAAAATAGCACGTAAAAATGTCAGCTCTCAATGTTATGGAAGAGTATTTCTCCAAACAAGGTTGGGTTTAGATTTTCTGCCTAACCTTCTCTGTGTGGTTTTGGTTGTTTGGGTTCTTTATAGAAGATTGTCACAAGAAGGGCAGAGGATGGTCAGTCAAGAGCTGGAACAAAAAAAAATCCATAAACTGAGTTAGGTTCTCATAAAAACTTAGATTATTTTTTAATTGATAAATGTCTAAATAATTTTACCTCTTGATTTTTTTCTTTTTTTTTTTAAGCTGGAAATCAAAAACTATTGATTTAGAGTGTTGCTAGAGAGCTTTGGAGGGCTTATTTGCCCATTTTATTTAGACTGGGATTCCCTCTTGGATCCAATCCATGCAGTGTTCCATGCTCAGAGATTCCCTCTGTGTGCTGTCAAAGAGAAAAACCATGAACCAATTTCCAACTTAACACATATTTCTGGGTTAACAGTGAGAGCGTTTTACTTGCCTAAACAACAGTGTAAATCCCACAAAAGCAAATCAATTTCCCAGAGAGTTCTGCCCTCAGACCTCCTTAATAAAATTAATCTGACTGCTTTCACCACATCAGACCCAGTGTCGTGCACTGTTTAGCTAAACATTGATCACTCCTGTTCCACGAGGTTTTAGGCTGGAGAAGGTGTCAAATCAGCCTCCTTCCAGCAGGAACCTTTCCCTTGTGTAACTTTAGCCTGGGTTTGGAGTGGTCCAAGCCCTGCTGGAACCAGATGAGTTCTCCACGCTCACACCGGCGGTGTCCGAGTCACGCGTGCTACTGGATGGGATTTGAAAGGGCGAAGGAGTCAGAGGTGTTTTAAGAGAGTGGAGAAGGATGATTTCCTTGTCCCAGCAGTCAGCGATGCTGCGTTTAGGATTTTTTGGACCTCTTTGAAAGCTCTGTGTTCTTTCTTTCACACCAGCAAACGGCGTTCTACGGAACGGTCAAGACCGGCTACACCATCGGACACACCCTGTCCCTCATCGCCCTCACGGCTGCCATGATCATTCTGTGTCTCTTCAGGTAAGGCCACCAGCAGAAAAAGGCTCAGGGAAGGGGCTCAAAGGCTGCAGATTTACAGGCTGTGCAGGCTATGAGTGTTAAAAGAAGATGCACAAGATTTCTGTCAGTCTGCGTTGGATAGGGGAGGAAGGTTCCTCCATCCTTCAGTGTCACTGTGTTTTTGTTGTGGTGTTTGCAGCAGTCCCAGAACGAGGGAAGAGATGAATTTGACTCCATATTTCTTAGAAGGCTGATTTATTATAATATTATATTAAAAGAAAATTATATACTAAAACTATACTAAACTATAGAGAGAAAGGATACATCAGAAAGCTGGAAAAGAATGAATAATAAAAACCTGTGACTGACCAGAGAGTCCGACACAGCTGGACTGAGATTGGTCATCAATTAAAATCAATTCACATGCTGGGATAAACAATTCTCCAAATCACATTCCAAAGCAGCAAAATGGAGAAGCTGAAGCTTCCCAGCTTATCAGGAGAAAAATCCTGGCAAAGGGATTTTTCATAAAATATCCTGGTGGCATGTATTGGTGTGGGATTTGTGACATTTGCCTGGGAGTTGTAACCCCAATCCAATTATTTGGGTGGATTCATCTCACCAAAGGCAGATTGCTCTATGATGGATCTCTGTTAGAGAGCTACAGTCTATAGAGTCCTGTATATTGATGCCAGGGAATTTCTACCTAAAGTAGGTATTCAAAATGGTATCTAAAAATATCCAGGATCACAAAATCCCAGAATGGTTTGGGTAGGAAGGGACCTTAAAGATCATCTCATTCCATCCCCTGGGCAGGGACACGTTCCACTATCGCAGACTGCTCCAAGCTCCATCCAACCTGGCCTTGGACACTTCCAGGGATGGAACACCCACAGCTTCTCTGGGCAGCCTGTTTCCTCCCAAAGACTTTTCCAAAAACACTTCCTGCTGTCACTCTATGGCACAACAGAGACACCCAGGACCATTTAAACTTGCTGGTGTCCCTGGGATAGGCACAAGTGTGGCCTTCAGGATGCAGGGCCTTCAGGAGATCCAGGGCCTCAGGGATGGATGGGCAGATAATCTGCAGCTCACCAAGTGGCATTGGAATCCCAGATTGCAGCAAATGGATTAATTCTTGCTCTCTATTTTTTTTGCAATAGATTCAGGCATCTAAATTTGGGTGCCCCCAATGAAGAAGTCTGCATATATGTCATCTCCTATTATAAATTAATTTATGTAAAAGGAGATCAGCAAAAAGCTGAGATGGAAGAACCCTTTGGATGAGGTTCCATCTCCTCATGTAAGACAGAGCACATTTTCTAGTGTAACTCACATCAGTGCTGGCCTCACCCTTCAGGAGCTTAGCACTTCTCTTCCCAAGTGCTCTCTCCACTCCTATTACAATGGAGAAGTCAATCAGACACATGCCAATTACCTCCAAAAGGTACAAAGTGCCAGCCAGGCTGGTGAAACCATTGAGGATCCTGGTTTTCCTTTGGGGAAAAACAGTTTAACTTGACTTGCCTTGGCCTGCAGGCACAGCAGACTCAGCTCAGCCCCATTACTTTGCCATCATCAGAGATTAGCAGCACAACCTCTGCCAGTGCCCATTTCCAGACTATCAGGCCTTTCACTTTGGCTGATGGAAATTCTCTCTTGAAAAAAATTTCCTCTTTGATCAGCATTCGTCTTCAAAATATTAGCAGGCAAGGGATAGAAAAACTCTGGTGTAGTTCTCAGTATCGTTAACAACCAGTGATTTTTAAATGCAAATATAGTTCATATTATTTCAGAAAGTCTGTAATATGTGTTAATTCTGGCAACAGATGCTAAGAATTTATTTGCCTGCTTGAAGAGACATTTCACTTTGAAAAGAATTACAGCAGCAGAAACATTCTGTAGAAAAAAGCCCTTTATCATGAGCGCAGTCTGCTCAGTCAAAAACATTTCTTTTCCAGTGGAGAGCAGTGGGATGGACCTGTTTTCTGTCATCCTGTATTTTTTCCTGTTTTTCTGAGGATTGAAAAAGCAGCAGTACTGCTGCAGATACATGGATTGCCACGTTCTGTGGAATTAAGGAGGCTTAAGTGGATTTGTGGTGATGCTCATCACCAGAGCCTGTCTCAGGGTTTCTAATGTTTAATTGGGACTCTATGTCATAGCAGAAGAAATGTGTAAATATAAAAATAATGCTTTTGAGAAGATTTGCTGTTCAGAAATGTTTAATTTCTTTCCAACAGAAAACTACACTGTACTCGAAATTACATTCACATGCACCTCTTCATGTCCTTCATCATGAGAGCCATCGCAGTCTTCATCAAGGATGTCATCCTGTTTGAAAGTGGGGAGTCCGAGCACTGCTTTGTGAGTTCAGTAAGTAGCCTCAAAATTTCCACCTCATTTTGTTGCCTCTCTTAAGAAATGCACCAAAAATTACCTTGCAAAAGCATGTGAGGTGGTACTTTGAGAAGACTTCAAATCCTCCTCATTTTTAAAAGGAAAAAAAAAAATCCATAATTGCTGCCATTTGACTTACATGGAGAAGGAATAAATTGATTATCAGAGTCCAACATGTATATATTTATATTTTATATCTGGTCCTTTCTGAAGTTGGACTTGATGGTCTTAGAAGTGTTTTTGAGCCTTAAGGATTTTATCAGGTCAAAGCCACAATGAGGTTGTACAGGATTTTGGGGCTCCTGTCAGTCCTGTGTCCATCTCCCAGCCACATGCTAATTTCTTGGATATCCTGGTCAAAGGATTTTAGGGATTTTGTGTAGGATTCAATGAAACCTTTTCCTTCCATGAGGATGGGAGTCAAATCCAAATTCACATAACTAATTTTAGTTATCTATGGGATAAGTACTTCCACATGAGCTGTGTGTGTGTTATGTGCATCCATAGATAGTGGGCTCTAATTAATCTGTTCCCTGGAGTCTGGAATGCTGTTCAGTCCTTTGGGAGAAGGCATGTGGGTGATTCTCTGGGCTCCAGTGACCAGATCCCTGCAGGACTTCAGGCAGGAAATCTCTTTGCAGACATCATCATCCATTTTTCATCTGAATCAGTATCCCACGCTCGCTGTCTGCAACTGTGAGATTTCCCTACTGGGATGATAAATAAGGGGAATAAAGGAGTTGGGTTATTTTTTTGCCTTCCAAACTCAGTATTATCAGCTGGAGCAAACATTAAGGAGGGAGAAGGGCTGTTTATCTACAGGCAACACTGACGTAAGAGGGCACCAGTCATGAATAAATTTAGGCAGGAAATTGAAATCACCAAAATGAAGAGATGTGCTCAGAAGTTATCCAGGGAAAAAAAAAAAAAAAAAAAAAACCAGGAGCCCTCCATAGTAAATTCAGAGCATTAGATGAGCTGCTTGCTGATAGCTCTGGACCTGTTTTTTATGTCATACACCACCAGAAAAAAAGATTCACTTTTCTTTTCCATCCACCCAATTTCTTCCTTGCTTGCTGGCTTTCCTGTATCCTTACCCTGAGTCCTGTCCCTGCTGTTATAATGACCTTTCTGCTTGAGCATCTCTCTGTTGAAACCCAGAGCAGCCTCCTCTCAGCTTTTCCCAAAAAATTATTCCTTTCCCTGTGTGCTCCTTCCTCTCTGTGATTCACTAGGATCTGGATTCTTGGAATGGGATTTTCTTGTGAAGGTCCATGAATGGGTAGAAAGACATGGAAACTGGAATAAATTGACACAGATTAATTGTCAATACCAATTGGCAGAGCAGCCAAGCCAGGACATGCCATGGAGTGTGAACCCACCTCTGATCCCTGTGGGAGTTTGCACTGGATTCTGCTGGATCAGGACTGAGGCACAGCTGCAGAGAGCTGAGTGAGAAATGTTTGCTTCTCATCCATGCAGAAACATTTCTGGGAGTAAATACAGAATTTTCCTGCAGAATCCAGAATACCTGCACTTTCAGGTAGCCCCATGGCTACAACACTTTTGTTGTAGAAATCAGAAGATTTTTGAGTTAATTGCCAGCTCAGGGTGAATGGCTGGATGACACATAACAGTTATAAATTTATGTGAGACAAATCTCTCTCTACAACATTAGGCTGAGCATACCCCTTGCAAAATCTGCACCAGTCTTGAACCAGCAGTTTGGGCAACTTTTTAGGTCACAGTCTAAAAACACTGACACAAAATGCCTCTCCTAACATTAATCTGTTAGGAAAAATTGTTATACAATCCATTGTGTTCCTGGTTGGGTTAAGTTGGCTTAAGTTTGTGCTTTGAACTTGCAGGATAAAGCTTGGCTTGGGAGACCTGGTGCTAATCCATATAGTCAGGATTTTATACACAATTCATTGAAGGCTGTGTGTGTAATGGATGTGGCCTTGAGCTCCTTCAGTCTGGGGAGAAATCTGAACAAACAATTTGCTGAATGCTCTCACTGCTACTCTGGTTTAGAGCAGGGCAAACCCAAAGCAATAAAAGTGTTTCACTACATGAGGAAGCATTAAATGAGGAAGTGCCACGCTTCGTTCCTTTAGGGAATGAAAGGGTAAAGAGAACAAATTTAGGACTATAAAATCCAAATGAATAGAAACCTCTCCCAGCATTTCTGGTGAAGGCACCAAAGTCCTCAATTTGATATTTTCTGCTGCAGTAAGAAGACTTTAAGTTATGTTTTGTGCTTTAGCCACACAAAAATACGTTAATCTCTCCACCAACAAATGTGTCAATGCTTCAATCAAGTAGGAACTTCAACACAAGAAGATGTATATGTAATAAAAAAAACCCTTTTTAAATAGGCTTTACTGCATTTTTACTTCATTTTACCTAGTTTGGGACACTTTAGGTGTGGTGTTAACTCTCCACCATTTTAAACTCAAAGAGGCTTGGATTGCTACTGAGTTCAACAGGAACCAACACCCTGAAAAATTAATTTATTAAGCATTTCTATGGGCCACAGTGCCTGAGAATGTGGCTGTAAGCATTTCAGGGCCAGTGCAGCCAAAATATAAAATACATGTGATGAGCATCACTGAGGGATGGTGTGAGCCAGCACTGGGTGATGTTTGCAGAGTGATGTGTGGTCCTTGGTCCTGCTTTATGGATAAACTCACTCCTGGGGGAAAGAAAAGTCTTGCTGCTTGGGTGAAAAAATCAACTTGTTTTCACTGGGCAGAGACCCTGAGCTGACAAGCAGGCCTTGTTTTTATGACTAAATGGAGCAGGTTTAAAATGATCTTTAAACCCAGAACCTGCACAAGGCCCCTTGTCCCACACCACAAGGAAACTCGTTTCCTTGTTTCCTACAAGGAAATTCAGCACTGGTGGCTCTGTAAAGGTCCCTCACTCCTTCTCCTCCTCCCAGATGTCCCAGTCTGTTAGATTTGTGTCTAGGCACAGTGAATGAAGGAAGGAATACAACCTCAAAGCCTGAAGAAGGAGCATCTTTGCAAGACACAAACCCACAGAACACAAACAGATAATTAGTCCCATTTCCTCGTATTCCAAGAGTCAGCTCAAATAATAGTACAAAAGATCCTTCAAGAGACATTCCAAATTCTACCGGTTAAGCAGAAATTAGGAAAAAAAAACATTAAAGGAAGGAGATTTTGACATGACACCAACACAAATAATAGCCATACCAATAAAATATGGCAAACAAAATACAAATCCTAATTAATAGCCATACCAATAAAATATGGCAAACAAAATACAAATCCCAATTATGTACCACTGACACACATAACTAAAGACTTAACTAAAGACTTGAGACAAACAATTAAAGACAGCAGCTTAAGCTCTCCCTACTTCAAGCAGGTATTAAAAAACACTTTTAGTAATTATGATCTAGTAACTTATGACTGCAAATATATTACCACCACAATCTTAACAGATTCACAATACATATTATAAGAAGACAAATAGAGAAGAATTCTCACCAAATAAAGAGAGACTTATACCAAAGCTCATGGAGAATCCTTCGACAGACCCCTTCCAAAAGTGGATTTTTGTGGGATTTTCTAGTAAGAAACAAAACCCTGCAGGGAATTTTCTAGAGGGGTGTGATGGCCATGCACAGACACAACATTCTGCTCCAGGTACCATCAGGAGACCAAACCCACTTCCTCCCTCTCTCTCATAGTGTATTTATGTAGCTTTTTAATTGTGATTATGTGTAACTGAATCATCCTGTTGGCTTAAATGGATTAAGAGCAGGCATCTGCTGGAGTGTGTTTGTCAGCTGGGGCCTTAAGCACTTGGATGAGGAGATGATGAGGCTCAGAGGGCTCTGTAGAACCACCCACCCTGAGTTCTTCAATAATTCTTCAATTCGACCTCCTCAGTATTAGTTTTGACTCACTCAGGTTATGTTCTGTCTCACTAATTGGTCAATTCTGACGGAAAACTCGCTGCACGTGGTTTTGTTACATCTTCAAATTGTTAATTGTGTGTGAAAATTTTTTAGAGTCTGGATTTGCCTTCATTTTTTTCTGGTTTGGTTTTTTTGGTTTTTGGTTTTGGTTTGGTTTGGTTTTTTTGTTTGTTTTTCCCCCTGCCAGACTCAAGAGTCCTCCTTAGAAGTTCTAGTTTTCCTCACTGATTTCCTTAGGTTTAGTGCCCTTCCCTCTTGGCATTCCCACAATTTATCTTCCCCTTTCCTTGTCTCCCTTGGGAACACCCTGTGGAAAACAACAGTCAAAACAACAAATGTGGTAGAAGGATTGAACTGAACACTTCGATAGTGGTTTTATTTAATTTTTTGTGGGTTTAGGGATAGGTTTTGATATAGTTTCATTACTGTCATATCTGAATGGCATAATAATGATGAACCACTTACATTTCCAGCCCTGCTGAAGACAAAGCCAACAGTTTGCTGTAAACAAAGATCAGAATCTACAGATTAAATTCAGGCTGGCATTTTTATCTGAGCTCTGCAAGTTTCCCCTTGCTGGAGATTCAGCCAAGGGAGATCACATCATTTATCTTTTCCCTTTTGTATTATTCCAGTAAAACAAAAAAATTCCAGCACAAAAATTATTCTTTGCAAAGGAGAGTGGGAGTTCAGCAGTTGAGAATTTACATGCATATCTCATATTTTCAGAGGAAAAAATTGGTGGTTTTTTAGTGTAATTCCCCCAGGACAAACTGACAACAGCTACAGGCCCCTAAATGAATTTTATTTATGGAAGTTGAAGACAGATACATTTTCATTTCCAGCAGTGAGGCTACTCAGCTCCAAGTGGGAGCACCACAATTTGCAGGCTGATGGAGAAATGGAACAGTAGAAGGTTTTTTTTATGCACTTGTGTTAAAGCAAAACAAATATTAGAGAGTCAGCTGTTTCCTTGGGTGATATCTGATGATCACTGCTACAATCTGAGGTTTACAGCAAAACA